CCCGGGGGGGGGGGGGTGGCAGCGTCCTCTGAATGCAGACTGAGCAGGTGGTGTTGCTGCATCCCCCTGGGGCTGCAGGACAGTCACCCGAGCTTCTTCTGAGAGCCCCCTGTCCCCGCTATGGCCTCACTCTGCCCCCACTCTGCCCTCACTCTGCCCTCACTCTACCCTAGGCTTTCTTGTACAGGCTCTTCCCACCCAAGGCGCCAGCCTCCCCATGCACAGGGTTTGACTACATCACTGGGGTCTCTCCTGTGTTTTCAGAAGTTCTAGAGGCTCTCCCACTAGGGGGCAGACAAGGTGTTTCACAGAGAAGCAAGAACCCTACAGCTACCCTGGAGAATCCTATGCCCTCCCTAGGCTGCAGGGTCCCAGGGCTGGCTGTCCTGGCAGGAGGGAGGATGGGGGGTATACAGAGAACTGGGGCCACTCCATGGAGTAGTGTTGTTTGGGGAAACAGTGGGCTGTGTCCTGACCCTATGGGAAAGGCCTGGCCCAGTCCCACGTGCAAAGGCTGGTGCAGCCTCCAACCAATTAAATTTCCTGGTAAGCAACTGGAGAAGGTACTCAGTGCTAAGGTAGGCTTTCGGGCATTGCCTCTCAGGCCTCTCATGCCCCGTCCTGGGAGGCAGGGACAACTGTGCACCTCAGACAGGGCCATGGGGCTCTTGCTGCCCACCCCTCTATTCTGACAGGGACCTTCCTTCTGGGCTCCAGATCCAGAGGCAGCACTGCTCTGTGGGCCTCCCTGATGGGCTACGTATGGCCCACCTTGACCCTCTATATCCATCCTACTCATGACAGTCCCCCAGACCCAGATCAATTGTTGAGCCCCAGCCAGCTCACACGGATGGCCTCCACCACTGTACAAACCTCACTATTTAGGTCCCCGGCGAGGGCACTGGCTCTCTCGCTGCCCACCTGCCTCCATCCCATGTCCAGCCCACCTGCAGTGCAGACCTTGCCATGGCATTCTCTTACTTAACAAAAGCCCCCGGCTCCTGGTCAAGGCCCCTTGCCCTGACCTCCTGCCAGCCGACCTCCAACTGCCCAGCCCATCCTGCCCCAGCCTGGGCCCATCCTGTCCTCTCAAGTTGTTCACACCCACAATTTTACAAAAAGAATCCCTATGGACAATTGTAATAACCCCCATGACCTGGCGCCAGGGACCTGGAGACCGTGTGGTCTTCCCCTGTCCACTGAGTCAGAGACATAGTCCTTCCAGCCTGAGAAGTGCCGCAATATCTGCTCAGCACACCTCCAGCTCTGCTGTACACAGGGCCGGGAGGCAAGCCATGGAGCATCTCTGCTCTCCCAGTGTCCACCCCGAGCCCCCACCATGCAGCCCAGTAATGCCAGGTCTGTGCGAAGCTGAGCACTGGAGAGTCATTGATGGCTGCCTGCACCCTGGCAGCCACGTCACCTTTCTCCATCTTCTTCAACATCCCCTGGTCTCCAAACCCACTGCTGTCCCAAGCCCACCAGGACCCAGCCTCTACTTCCCGTTTCATTGTTGAAGAGCAGCTGTGAGAGTGATCGAAGACCCAAGAACCTTAAAGGGCTGACTCAGGTCTTCCCAGACCCTGGGCAGGCATGTTCAA